ACATCTGGATATTTGGGTTGAACTGTTCTGGAACAGTGTTGTAAATACAACTTAACCACTGATTTCTAGTCTTGTCTTTTGGAAGAACAAACAAAGTAGTTTCATATTTTTACATGATAGATGGAAACATTGTGAGTTTGTAGCTTAATTTACTATATTTGAAATAGTTTGAGCTGCAGTTCAATAGGAAATCAATAGAAAGCATCCAGTCTCTCATACCATTGAAGTAAATGTTGAGTATATATTGATAAATCTTTAAGAAAATTATTGTTGTATCTAACTGTATTAGTCAATGTGATAAACATGCAACAAAAAAACAAAAAAAGTATAAAACATTTTTGGTGAAGTTGTTATGCTGTGTGAGCAAGGTTTAGTCCAATTTGAAAACAATAACTAACATTTGTGCAAAAACAAAAATTATTCTCTTGCTTAGTGTTTGTGTCTTGTGTTCTAGTATAAATATCAACATTCTCGAATCAAGATGCATTTACTGTACGAGTGAAATGATTTAAGATATCAAGTCTTGTTTTCTGTTAAAAAAATATATATATATATTTTTTTTTTCCTTAAAACAAGCAAAAATATCTGCCAATGGAGCAAGAAAAATAATCTTGTTTAGCCTTTGAATTCAGATTATGATTCTGACCCCATTAGCAGATATTTCTGCTTGGTGGAGTCTGTGCAAACACAAGACAAACACTCAGTCACTGAAGCATCAGCAGCTCTGTTTTATTCTGGAAATGACTCTTTTAGATGAAGCCACGCAGACAGACGAACCTCCAGCTCCTCAGTAAACACAGTATGAGCGCGTCTGTCTCTCAAACCTCTGTCTGAAGCTCCTGAGGGACGCCTTTCTGCAGTGCCGCCATTGAGCCGTGACGGGACGCTTCATGTAATGAGCTGCTATTTACAACAAATAAGGTGAATGGAGGAACACGGCGCCAAATGATGCCGCGGTTCTCCAGGGGCCGAGGCGCGGGGCCCGGGGCCCGAGATCAATGAAACAGGTTAAGGGAGCCATCGCAGGCCAATGACTAACTGCCAGAGATGCCGGAGCGAACAGACAAAAGCACTGACATCAAACGCTGAAAAGAAGGAGGCGGGAAACATGCTGTAATCGATATCTGATAAATATGAAGCGGCGGATCCTGACAAACATCCGGATCCGTTCAGCAGCTCATTTACTGCAGATCGGGTTCAGCTTCATTCTCTGACTGTGTGAAAAA